TTTTTTTTTTTTGTACCGGGGATTGAACTCGGGATCTTGCACTTGCAGGGCAGGTGGAGGGATCACTGAGCTAAATCCTGGCCCCTAATACTTTTTTTTTTTTTTTTTTAGTACCAGGGATAGAACTCAGGACTTCGAGTTTTCAAGGCAGGCAGCAACTTGTTTAAATGAACTATTACTAAGGTAAATTCAAAGCCACTAAGCTAAATCCTCGGCCCAAAAGAGAGTCAGAGAAAGCCTGTTTTGAAAACTAAAAGTGGTTTTGTTAGAGGTCATAATTGGATTAATGTTTTCCATGCTTTTCTCTCTTGTTTTCAATTTTCAGTACATTTATATATCATGTAAAATACTTTTTCAGTGCATTATGTCATGTATTTTATATGGAAGCTATATAAACTTATCTTAAAAAGCAAAGTTCCTCAGAAACACTCTGAGAATGATCTACACTCAAGAAGAAATTGAGGAAATTAATTTACACTCATAAGAGTTTTCCAATTATTAGATCCTGTGTCTTTTTCCTTCTTATTTCGTAGGTTTTTCATTTGCAGAAGCGCTGAACCATAATGGTTGAGTTAACTAGTTACATTTATATCATTTTCTCTTCCCTTGAGAGGAAGGTGCTCTGTGTTCAATTATTTGTTTTTACCTTAGAACTCATTTTAACTTGGCACGTCTTCTTTCTCTCTCCTTGTTTTCTTTTTTGTTATTTTCTTTCTCCTCTTAATACTTGGTTCTCTGATCCATGTGCTTTTAGATATTGTTTTTGCTCATTCTCGCAATATTCTGAAAGTAATGGCTGACATTATTGATGAGACTGACAGAGGAAGGTGGGTGTGTAAGAAATGGCAACTCCTAAGACATGAGAATGGAAGTCCCTTTGATGTTTGATTTTTGAGTTCTACGTATTCCTGGTGTCCAGTCTTTCCAACACTATCCAGAGTACTAACCTGAGCTGGCTCAGTGTCATGTCACCAGACCATCAGGGTACTGGAGACGCAGCACAGTTAGATGTAATAAAAATAAGTCTTCTGTATGCTGAATAGTCCATGTTCCTGTCTTTCTGAAGGCACAGTGGCTGGGTGGGAGTCCATGAGAAGCGCAGAGACATGTCCACACCCTTACCTTTCCTCTAGGGTTCCTAGGGCCCTCAGGAATGGCAAGGTGCATATCCTGTAATGAACTTTTATCTGTGTAAGTCACAAAAGCCCTAAACGTTCCTTCTGTTTGTTTCTTTTTCTGCCAAGAGAGGCATAAAGATTCAGTGGAAACTCCACAAGGTCAGGGTGATTTGTGTGGTTTGAATTTTCAGGGAGAGTTATCAGCAGCTGCTCAAATAACGGCCAAAAGTGCGGGCACAATTGGTGAGGCCAAGTGGCCAGGTCTTCCCTAGGGCAGTGAGTGGAAGAATCTGAAGGGCAGGGAGACGGATGTGTGGAAGTGGGTTTACCATGCTGATTTGCCAGGGTCCAGAGGGCAGCCCTTCCCTGACAGGCTGAGCAGTGCTGTGTGGAGGGGCCTGTGGTCACTGCCGTTTAAGGAGCTCCCTGATGGGACCTCCCTGATAGGATGGGACCAAGGGATAGTGAAGCCATCAAAGACTAGGGGACAAGCACCTTTCCAGGGTGGTGAGGACTAACGTGTCCTCAGAGTGCTTTGAACCACAGGCTGCTTGATGGGGTGGATTGGTCACGGGCTCCTCAGGGTGTAACACGACCGTCTGCGCTTGCTAATTCAGGTCTTGTTCCCACTGTCTATGCATGTGTGAGAAATCATCTCAAACTTAGTAGATAAAACAATGATTAATCATTATCTTGAACAGTTCTGCAGGTGGCTCTTTTCCTTTTTATTGTTGTAAAACATACACAACATAAGACTGACTATCCATTTTAAGTGTATGATTCTGTGTCTTCGAACACATTTGCAGTGTGGTGCAACAATTACCACAGTCCATTTCCATAACCCTTCATTTTTTCAAGCCAAAACTCTGTACCCATTAAATGGTAACTGCTCATTTCTCCTTCTTCAGCCCCAGCCAGCACTCTTCTACTCCCTGTCTCCATAGATTTCCCTGGTCTGTGTAACTCACATACATGGAATCATACAGTACGTGTCCTCTTGTAACTGGCTTATTTCACTTAACATAATGTCTGCAAGTTCATGAACATTGTAGTGTGTCAGAATTTCCTTCTTTCTTAAGGCCGAGTAACATTCCATGCAGGCCTAATTTTACTGAATGGATGAGTCCATCCACCTGACAATAGCCTCTGGGTTGTTTCCACCTTTTGATCATTACAAATACTGCGAGTGAGAACACATGATTGTACAAATTTCTGTTCAACTCCCTGCTTTCAGTCCTTTTGGATATATACCAAGACACAAAATCACTGGATCATATGGTAATTCTATGTTTAATTTTGGAGAAACTGTGATACTGTCTTCCTGGCAGCTGCACCATTTTACATTCCCATCAGCAGTGCCACAGTTCTTTGATTTCTCCGAATCCTTGCCTACTCTTGTCACTTATCCCTTTCATGTAGAGGCTGTCCCAGTGGGTGTGCAGGGGGGTAGGCAGATCTTGACCGGGGCTCTCAGGCAGTTGCTGTGGCAAGGTGGCTGGGATACCTGCTGCCCCTCACATCTCTGACAGGGGACTGGGATAGCTGTGCCAGGGGGCTGCTGGGCAGTAACACCTTCCTGTGACTCCACATGGCTAATATGGGCTTCCTCACAGCACAGTGACCTCAGTATGGTTGTATTTTCTAAATGATAACCAGCTTCCCCCAAAGGCAGTAGTAGCAAGAAGCAGGCAGTGGAGGCTCCAGTGTCTTAAGGTCTGGGCCCAAATCTGCTGGGTGACTTTCGCGATGTTCTCTAGTCGTGCCCTCACAGGTGGCCAGTTTCATGGGGAGCAGATGTGAAGCCTAGTTCTTGGGGGAGGCACATCAAAGAACCTGTGGCCACACACAATCTGTCCAATTTAAATGGCCACAGAGGAGCCGGGCATGGTGGTGGACACCTGTAATCCCAGCACTCAGGAGGCTGAGGCAGGAGGATCACCGCCAAGTTGGAGGCCAGCCTAGGGCTACATAGTGAGACTCTGTCTCAAAAAAACACAAATAAAAATAAATAAAGAAAGAAATGAATGGTCACAGAGGAGATCTATGGTCTCCCACAAAGCCAATTCACAGACTGGAGGTCCCTGGCTGCCCAAACACCCAGGCCCCAGGGCATGGCTTCGGGTAGCTATAGAGCTCTTCTCTCAGATGTCTCTGGAGGGGAGGAGGCCATTTTCTAGTGAGGGCCACTGGGAAGATTTTCACCCTTGAGGGGTGTTCCTGGACCCTGGCTCTGTCCTAACGCACACACTTGGA